GTCCGAACAGTAATTGCATTCAAACAGATTCCTTCATCCTCGCTGTTTAGAGAAATTAACCAGAAAAATCTATATGTGCATGTCAATATTTTTCTGCATTATGTCCTTTCAGGGGAAAATCCTTCCATTGTAAAATTTCCTCTCACCTACTGTTCCTGTGACAATTCTAAAATGTGTGATTTCGTTCTATTTGTGTACTAGTGGCAATGATCACTATGACTATTGGATAGGGTGTATCTCTTGACAATGCTTTTAACATTTACCTACTCTATCCAAACTATCCAGGAAGTTTTGGATTTACATATGCTTTACCTAAAAATCCTCAATCAGTGCACTTTTATCCTCAATGTGCACATTGAAGATATGCCACTGACCCTAGCTGGGGACCTGATGTGGCCCGTAGGCCATAGTTTGAAGGCCCTTGACCTATAGCAACCAAATTCCATCATGATTCTGCTTTAATTAGGAACTTTAGAAATAGATTGGTTGCTATGAGCAACAATGCTATTTTCTTTATACCAGTGCGTTAGAATATATGCAAGCCATTCAGGTAAATACTTTGGTAAATCATACATCCATTTGTGCAGGCAGCGAACAGGATTGATATCCTCATCTCTTAGTTGTCCTGTGGAATATTTCTGACTGAACTGTATATTTGTCTATGAGCAGTAAGAAAGCTCAGGCTTTGCATTACTAGATAAATTATAATAAAACACAAAGGAATATATGTGTGTATCTTGGTGCCAGAGGGGATGTGTCACTGAAGAATACACTGCTGTGGAATCATAGTGACATTGGCTGCTTCATAGACACATGAAATTAGGTAGGACTGTCTTGACAACAACAGTGATGTTAAATCTGCAATCAAATCTTTGATCCACATTCTACTCCCCATCATCTTATGTAATGGTGTGTGTTTTATAGCATGCTTTCATTCCCTAATATACAAAAATGATCGGCCTGCAATAATGCAATGTCTTGCAATATTGCTTCTTTTATGATTCTGCTGCAAAGTATTGTTCCTTCTTTTATTCCTTCATTTCTCACAGATATGGTATTAGGTTATAAGTCAGTAAGTGGATACACAATATAGTTTTTCTGTTCTTTCTTATTAAAGTGAGACTCCAGATTTGCTGCAAACACAATTTCCTCCAGAGATAAGTATACCTTATAGCACCGCTCCAAGCTATGGATGGAAGGAAAAGGATCACCCCACCGGCAAGTGAGAAAAGGGGAGCATGAGTTTGAGCAATTCCAGTGTCAGCCAATACAAATGAAATGATGGACACTGCTCAACCAACCCCAGGAGTCCAATGTTGAGGAATGGCCTCAGCTGCCATACTGACAATGGCCACTGATTTCACCCCACCCACTGGGGCTTGGTCACGGAGGTCAAGCCCTCAGTGGACGGGGTGAAACGCATCAGAGGGAGTGGCCAGTATGACTGTTGAGACCATTCCTCAGCATTGGACTTCTGGGGTAGGTTGAGCAGCGTCCATCCCTTCACAATTTCCTTCAGGTTACCTATTTAGATTACAAAGATTTTAGGAAACTAGAGCAGAATCTTACCTGCTTAACTTTCTGTGCTAAAGAAATCTTTTGGTTGTGAGTAGAGATGAGCGAATTATTCAAAAATTCGATTCGGCTGATTCGCCGAATTTGCGGGAGAAATTCGATTCGATGCGAATTTATTCGCCGCAAATTTAACTTATTAAAAGGGTTTCTAGGCTTCAGAGAGCCTTTATATTAGTGCAGAACACTGTACCTTTAATTTAAATGCCCTTGGAGTCTGCTGGGGAAGAGAAATAATACTGTCAGTCAGTATGACATGCAGATGAGTGCCGTCGATCTTAGAATCACCGCACACTTCACTCATTTGGGCAGTCACGGGGCACTACGAAGAAGAAGAAGAAGAAGAATGAAAAGAAGAAGAAGAAGAATGAAAAGAAGAAGAAGAATGAAAAGAAGAATGAAAAGAAGAAGAAGAAGAATGAAAAGAAGAAGAAGAAGAAGAATGAAAAGAAGAATGAGAAGAAGAATGAAAAGAAGAATGAGAAGAAGAATGAAAAGAAGAATGAGAAGAATGAAAAGAAGAATGAAAAGAAGAAGAAGAAGAATGAAAAGAAGAAGAAGAAGAAGAATGAAAAGAAGAATGAAAAGAAGAAGAAGAAGAATGAAAAGAAGAAGAAGAAGAAGAATGAAAAGAAGAATGAAAAGAAGAAGAAGAAGAATGAAAAGAAGAATGAAAAGAAGAAGAAGAAGAAGAATGAAAAGAAGAATGAAAAGAAGAAGAAGAAGAATGAAAAGAAGAAGAAGAATGAAAAGAAGAAGAAGAAGAATGAAAAGAAGAATGAGAAGAATGAAAAGAAGAATGAAAAGAAGAAGAAGAAGAAGAATGAAAAGAAGAAGAAGAAGAATGAAAAGAAGAATGAAAAGAAGAAGAAGAAGAAAAAAGAAGAAGAAGAAGAAGAATGAAAAGAAGAAGAAGAAGAATGAAAAGAAGAAGAAGAAGAAGAATGAAAAGAAGAAGAAGAATGAAAAGAAGAAGAAGAAGAATGAAAAGAAGAAGAAGAAGAATGAAAAGAAGAATGAGAAGAAGAATGAAAAGAAGAATTAAAAGAAGAATGAGAAGAATGAAAAGAAGAATGAAAAGAAGAAGAAGAAGAAGAATGAAAAGAAGAATGAAAAGAAGAAGAAGAAGAATGAAAAGAAGAAGAATGAAAAGAAGAATGAAAAGAAGAAGAAGAAGAATGAAAAGAAGAAGAAGAATGAAAAGAAGAATGAAAAGAAGAAGAAGAATGAAAAGAAGAAGAAGAAGAATGAAAAGAAGAAGAAAAGAATGAAAAGAAGAAGAAGAAGAAGAAGAATGAATGAAAAGAAGAATAAAAAGAAGAAGAAGATGAAAAGAAGAAGAAGAAGAATGAAAAGAAGAATGAAAAGAAGAAGAAGAATGAAAAGAAGAAGAAGAAGAATGAAAAGAAGAAGAAAAGAAAAGAAGAAGAAAAGAAGAAGAAGAAGAATGAAAAGAAGAAGAATGAAAAGAAGAATGAAAAGAAGAAGAAGAAGAATGAAAAGAAGAAGAAGAATGAAAAGAAGAAGAAGAAGAATGAAAAGAAGAAGAAGAAGAATGAAAAGAAGAATGAGAAGAAGAATGAAAAGAAGAATGAAAAGAAGAATGAGAAGAATGAAAAGAAGAATGAAAAGAAGAATGAGAAGAATGAAAAGAAGAATGAAAATAAGAAGAAGAAGAATGAAAAGAAGAAGAAGAAGAAGAATGAAAAGAAGAATGAAAAGAAGAAGAAGAAGAATGAAAAAGAAGAAGAAGAAGAATGAAAAGAAGAAGAAGAAGAAGAAGAATGAAAAGAAGAAGAAGAAGAATGAAAAGAAGAAGAATGAAAAGAAGAATGAAAAGAAGAAGAAGAAGAATGAAAAGAAGAATGAAAAAGAAGAAGAAGAAGAAGAATGAAAAGAAGAAGAAGAATGAAAAGAAGAAGAATTCCAGTACAGCAAAAAGTGTATCTGCAGAGAACTCCGCTATTTCTGACAGTTCTCTGACAGTTCTGACAGTTCATTTACAGCGGTTGAAACATTGTATCTATTTATTTCCGAATAAAAACATCTGTATCCTAAATGGAAACAAATAGATACAATGTTTCAACCGCTGTAAATGAACTGTCAGAACTGTCAGAGAACTGTCAGAAATAGCGGAGCTCTCTGCAGTGACACTTTTGCCGGCTGATCGGGGAAAATTCGATTCGTGCATCCGAAGTTTGCTAAAATTCGGATTCGATGCGAATCGAATTTTTCCTAATATTCGAAACGAATTCCACTTCGCCAAGTTCGATTCGCTCATCTCTAGTTGTGAGTAAGTGGCAGAGTGGGGTTTTATGATAATAAACATAATGATTCCCAGAAAATCCAGGATACCTATGTACTGTACATGTTGCACCTTGCATATTTTTTTCTCAAAGAAAACAAAATCTTAGTGCATTGAACCTTAGGTCATTGCTGGAGATACCTGTAATTTAAAATGCACTTACTGCCCTAGCCAGCTATTTTGTATTTGTGACATGTAACACATAGTTGAAATAAAGCAGAACCAGTATTTAATAAAACCTTCCAAAATGAGATTCATGAGTTTGATATACACTATATTGAAGTATTTAAGTATTGGGACACCCCCCCCCAATCATTGGATTCAGGTGTTCCAATCACCTCCATGGACACAGGTGTATAAATCAAGCACCTAGGCATGCAGACTGCTTCTATAAACATTTGTGAAAGAATGGGTCTGTCAGGGCTCCGGGGTATGACCAGAGGTGTGTGACTGACGCAGGGAAACGCAGACTTCAGATATGTTATAAACAATATAATTTATTAACACTAACAATACAAACATAAACGCAGTGCAATACTAAAACATAACACAGTGCAAACAAACCAAACCAACCACCCACAGATAACAGTACATACAATGCAAGCGTCGTCAGGCAGGCCGGGTCAATATCAATCGGGCAGGTAGGTACAGGGGGAGCAAGCGGAGAATGGTCGGGGTCACAAGCCAGGTTCAGCAGGTAGCGGGCAGCGTGGTACAGAGGGTCAGGCAGAGGGATGGTCAGGAACGAGCCGGGGTCAGAGCAGGAGAAGTCAGCAGAGGTCCAGATCAGGCAGGGTCAGCAACAAGACAGGAACAGGATGCAGGATGCAGGGCCCAGGAAAAACACACACCAAGGCAGAGTCTGCAGGTCTGGCCATCCCTTAAATACACCAGTATAAGCAGTTTCAGGTGTTTGGCTGGCTGCAAGGTTGAGTCTCTGATTGCTGGGAGCACCCGCTGGCCAGCCCTGGTACTGCAGCCCATAAGGCAGGTGAGTCCCACCATTGCTGGCCAGTCCATTCCTGACAGGGTCGCTCTCAGGAGCTCAGTGAATTCAAGCGTGGTACCGTGATAGGTTGCCACCTGTGCAATATGTCCATCCATGAAATTTCCTTGCTACTACGTGGCAGGCCATGAAAAATGATAGAGTGGGATCAGTGCATGCTGAAGTGCACAGTGCGCAGAAGTCACCAACTGTCTGCAGAGTCAATAGCTAAAGACCTCCTGCATCCAAGCCTTACATCACCAAGTGGAATGTAAAGCATTGGATGCAGTGGTGTGAAGCACGCTGCCACTGGACTCTAGAGCAGTGGAAACGTGGTCTCTGTAGTGACGAAACGTGCTTTTCTGTCTGGCAATCTGACGGACATGTCTGGGTTTGGCGGTTTCCAGGAGAACTGTACTTGCATGACTGCATTGTGCCAAGTGTAAAGTTTGGTGGAGGGGGGGGCTTTATGGTGTGGGGTTGTTTTTCAGGGGTTGGGCTTGGCCCCATAGTTCCAGTGAAGGGAACTCTTAAGGCGTCAGCATACCAAGACATTTTGGACAATTTCATGCTCCCACCTTTGTGGGAATAGTTTGGGGATGGCGCCTTCCTGTTCCAACATGACTTCGCACCAGTGCACAAAAAAGGTCCATAAAGACATAGATGAGCGAGTTTGCTGTGGAGAAACTTGACTGACCTCAACCCAATAGAACACCTTTGGGATGAATTAGAGCGGAGACTGTGAGCCAGACCTTCTCGTCCGACATCAGTGCCTGACCTCACAAGTGCGCTTCTGGAAGAATGGTCAAACATTCCCATAGACACACTGCTAAACCTTGTGGACAGCCTTCCCAGAAGAGGTGAAGCTGTTATAGCTGCAAAGGGTGGGCCAACTCAATATTGAACCCTACAGACTAAGACTGGGATGCCATTAAAGTTCATGTATGTGGAAAGGCAGGCGTCCAAATACTTTTGGCAATATAGTGTATTTAATATGTTTGATAAATCCTAGCAAGTTGGCTTGTTGTTAGGTGTAGAAGTGTTACTAAACTCATGACACGGCATTCACTATATCTGGTCTCCCAAAGTACACAGAACAGGGAAATGCAATGATTGTAGTAAAATAAACTGCTAAATACCTTTTCGCATCAGCAGTTAGAGCAGTCTTGTGACTTCTGTCAGTGTCCAGCAGAGCACTGTTTAAAACTTGTATGAGGAGTTTTCATTCTCCCCTGATTGTCCTATGAGACTGCATGACCCCCGACCCTCTGTCTGGACATCGCTGATTGGTGCTGTGCTGATCACATGCACTCTCCCAAGGAAAAAAAATTCTCTAGCAATACACAACAAACTGTGCAGCTTACCCCCAAGGCTCTATTCTATCAGCAGATGGATTTGAGACTGTTGAAGAAGGGGAGGATCAGAGATGTCAGGATCAAACATCCTTAAAGAATTAACCCCTTAGGCTCCACAGTGAGTATAACAAGCATGCTTTACTGCATATATAGACTGATTTTTGTTGTGGATTTAGTAACACTTTAAACATGTGGGTCTTTATAGCATATTGAGATGCCTTAACTGCAGCATTAAGAATGATTAATGTAGAAAACCTTTAGTCCGTATCAATAGGAAGAGGCAAGGTGTTTGATAACATGAATACTTGATTCATGCAGGAACTGGCATCTTTCGCTTTACAGATTACAGGTTTAATTGATTCAAAAGATTAAATACTTCTATAGGTAAAACAGCAACCTCTTTATAACATTCAACCTGAAATCTCGATACCAGAGGATCTATTTGTGGCAGAGAGCATTCCTCAATAGCACTAGTCCATTCCAAATGAATACCAACCCTGATGAAAGATTCCATTGAACGGTTTCTCGTATTCTGTTGCTTTGTAGGACTGCACCCAAGAGATGGCTGAGTGCACTGAACTTTGGATTTGGTGCTTTATTATTGTCACATGGTTGATGTGTCTCAGATTAGAGGTTTTCTTGTTTTCTTTTTAATTGTAACAAAATGCACAGAGGAATTCCTATAGGATGCTGTCATGGTTAATAGAGCTCCTTGAAAGCCTGATGCTGTTGTTCTATAAAACTGATCAGTTACAAATCTACAGGGAAGATATGTAGCACTATTGTGACGGCTATGGCATGAAAGGATTTCATTAGGTGTTGGGGGTGGTAAAACTACTGCGTGTATGGACATGTGCAAAGACATCCAGACTGGTACAGCAGGAAAACTTGCCGGATGGAAGTTAGATGACTATTGAGTGTTAGGACTCAATTCCTTCTTCCATGTAAATAAAACCTTTGAATATGCTCTGACTACTTCATACTCACATACATACAGCTAACTAGTATAATACCCAATTTTGTGATTTACAAAGGCAGTTAATTATATATATATATATATGCTATGTTTTTCGAAGAAGGCTTTCCATTGTTTTTAGAATATCTGCCATAGAACAATATTAAAGTGATACTAAACCCAGAACCCTGCATTCAATATACCTGTCTAGCACAGTACACACAGCATGGAAATTGAATTATTTTAGTAAATCTAAACTGATAAATACCTTTTCTCATCAGAATTTAGAGCAGTCTTGTGACTTCAGCAGAGCACTGGTTAAAGCTTGTAGCAGGAGTTTTATTTCTGCTCTAGGAGGATGTGAAACCTCTGACCCTCTGTCTGGACAGTGCTGATTGGCCCTATGCTGTTCACATGCACCCTTCCAAGAAAAAAAAAACAACTCTCTAGCAATACACACCAAACCGAGCGTGCATGTGACCATGGGTTCAGTCTGTATCAGGTGGTCATTTCAGCAAAAGAAGGAGCAGAGAAGAAAGGATCAGTCTTTTTATATAATGCAGAGGATTAACCCCTTAGGTTCCACAGTGAGTATAACAAGCATGCTTTAATGCATATACAGACTGATTTTACTGTTGTGCATTTATTTATTTCAGGTACTTATATAGCGCAATCAATTTATGCAGCGCTTTACATATATATATATTTTACATTCACATCAGTCCCTAACCCTCAAGGGGCGTACAATCTAAGGTTCCTAACTCACATTCATACATACACATACTAGGGCCAATTTAGACAGGAGCCAATTAACCTACCAGCATGTCTTTGCAGTGTGGGAGGAAACCAGAGTACCTGGAGGAAACCCACGCAGGCACAGGGAGAACATGCAAACTCCAGGCAGGTGGTGCCATGACTGGGATTCAAACCAACGACCCTAGTACTACCAGGCGGAAATGCTAACCATTTTGCCACTGTGCGTTTAGTAACACTTTAAATATAACTGCAGGACAATCCACTGTAATTGCATCCTTTGAAATTATACTGTTAAGGGGAGCCAAGTTGGGTGGCAAATATATTTTTTACAACGTATTTATATAGTTATTTGTTGGTTCACTGTAGTTCACATTTTTTTATGAGGTTCTCCAATCCAAGCTCAGATACTGCAACCTGAGTGCCTGGGGAGAATCCATCTCATGGTTCCTCTGAGAAATTGATAACACTTAGGGGTCTATTTATAAAATGTTTCCTGTTTGAAAGTCTCAGCATTCATACAAAAAGCAGCACAGTGGTTAAGTGGTTAGTACTCCCACCTGGCAGCTCTAGGGTTGTTGTTGGTTCCAGGGGTGGACTGACAACTCATGGGGCCCCCGGGCAATACGAGATCATGGGGCCCCTGTATCCTTGCCCAAACTCAAAAAAGCCTATGAAAAAGGTACCATGGGCATCTCATGGGGCCCCCTACTGACCCCGGGCCCTCAGGCAGTGCCCTAGTTTCCAAATGGTCAGTCCGCCCCTGGTTGGTTCAAATCCCAACCATGGCATTGCCTCCCTGGAGTTTTCCTGTTCTCCCTGTGCCTGTGTAGGTTTCCTCCCACACTCCAAAGACATGCTGCTAGGTTAATTGGTACCTGTGTAAATTGGCCTTAGTATGTGTATGTATAAATGTGAGTTAGGGGACCTTAGATTGTAAGCTCCTTGAGGACAGGGACTGTGGCTGTACAATATACAATACTCATAAAAATTAAAGGAACACTTTGAAAACACATCAGATCTCAATGGGGAAAAATATCATGCTGGATATCTATACTGATATGGACTGGATAATGTGTTAGGAATGTAAGGATGCCCCAACGTTTGATGGAAATGAAAATTATAAACCTACAGAGGACTGAATTCAAAGGCACCCTGAAAATCAAAGTGAAAAAATGATGCAGCAGGCTAATCAATTTTCCTGAAATTTCATTGCAGCAACTCAAAATGGTACTCAGTAGTTTGTAGGGCCCCCACATGCTTGTATGCATGCCTGACAATGTCGGGACATGCTCCTAATGAGACAACAGATGGTGTCGTGGGGTATTTCCTACCAGATCTTTGACCAGGGTATCACTGAGCTCCTGGACAATCTGAGGTGCAACCTGGCGGTGTCGGATGGACCAAAACATGATATCGCAGAGGTGTTCTATTGGATTTAGGTCAGGCAAGTGTGGGGCCACTCAATGTAATCAATACCTTCATCCTCCAGGAACTGCCTGCATACTCTCAACACATGCACCAGGAGGAACCCAGGACCCACTGCACCAGCGTAGGGTCTGACAACGGGTCCAATGATTTCATCCCGATACCTAGTGGCAGTCAGGGTGCCCTTGTCTAGCCTGTAGAGATCTGTGTGTCCCTCCATGGATATGCCTCCCCAGACCATCACGGACCCACCACCAAAACGGTCAGACTGAATGATGTTACAGGTAGCATAACATTCTCCATGGCTCCCCCAGACCCTTTCACGTCTGTCACGTGCTCAGGATAAACCTGGTCTCATCTGTGAAAAGCGCAGGGTGCCAGTGGTGAACTTGCCAATTCTGGTGTTCAATGGCAAATGCCAATTGAGCTCTATGGTGCTGGGCAGTGAGCACAGGGCCCACTAGCGGACGTCGGGCCCTCAGCCCATCCTTGTAAAGTCTTTTTCTGATTGTTTGATCAGAGACATTCACACCAGTGGCCTGCTGAAGGTCATTTTATAGGGCCCTGGCAGTGCTCACCCTCTTCTTCCTTGCACAAAAGAGCAGATACCGGTGCTGCTGATGGATTAAGGACCTTGTACGGCCCTGTCCAACTCTCCTAGAGGAACTGCCTGTCTCCTGGAATCTCCTCCATGCTCTTGAAACTGTGCTGGGAGACACAGCAAACCTTCCGGCAATGGCACGTATTGATGGACTGCCTGTGCAACCTCTGTAGGGTCCAGGTATCGCCTCATGCTACCAG